TCACTCGACAGTCCACCCACCCACTTACACATCTACTCCTCACTCGACAGTCCACCCACCCACCCACTTACACATCTACTCCTCACTCGACAGTCCACCCACCCACTTACACATCTACTCCTCACTCGACTGTCCACCCACCCACTTACACATCTACTCCTCACTCGACAGTCCACCCACCCACCCACTTACACATCTACTCCTCACTCGACAGTCCACCCACCAACTTACACATCTACTCCTCACTCGACAGTCCACACACCGACTTACACATCTACTCCTCACTCGACAGTCCACCCACCCACTTACACATCTACTCCTCACTCGACAGTCCACCCACCAACTTACACATCTACTCCTCACTCGACAGTCCACTCACCCACTTACACATCTACTCCTCACTCGACAGTCCACCCACCCACCCACTTACACATCTACTCCTCACTCGACAGTCCACCCACCCACTTACACATCTACTCCTCACTCGACTGTCCACCCACCCACTTACACATCTACTCCTCACTCGACAGTCCACCCACCCACCCACTTACACATCTACTCCTCACTCGACAGTCCACCCACCAACTTACACATCTACTCCTCACTCGACAGTCCACACACCGACTTACACATCTACTCCTCACTCGACAGTCCACCCACCCACTTACACATCTACTCCTCACTCGACAGTCCACCCACCAACTTACACATCTACTCCTCACTCGACAGTCCACTCACCCACTTACACATCTACTCCTCACTCGACAGTCCACCCACCCACCCACTTACACATCTACTCCTCACTCGACAGTCCACCCACCCACCCACTTACACATCTACTCCTCACTCGACAGTCCACCCACCCACTTACACATCTACTCCTCACTCGACAGTCCACCCACCCACTTACACATCTACTCCTCACTCGACAGTCCACCCACCCACTTACACATCTACTCCTCACTCGACAGTCCACCACCCATTAACATATCTACTCCTCACTCGACAGTCCACCCACCCACTTTCACATCTACTCCTCACTCGACAGTCCACCCACCCACTTACACATCTACTCCTCACTCGACAGTCCACCCACCCTCTTACACATCTACTCCTCACTCGACAGCCAGCCCACCAACTTACACATCTACTCCTCACTCGACAGTCCACCCACCCACTTACACATCTACTCCTCACTCGACAGTCCACCACCCATTAACACATCTACTCCTCACTCGACAGTTCACCACCCATTAGCACATATACCCTCACTCGACAGTCCACCCACCCACTTACACATCTACTCCTCACTCGACAGTCCACTCACCCATTTCCACAAGTACTCCTCACTCGACAGCCCACCCACCAACTTACACATGTACTCCTCACTCGACAGTCCACCCACCCACTTACACATCTACTCCTCACTCGACAGTCCACCCACCCACTTACACATCTACTCCTCACTCGACAGTCCACCAACCCACTTACACATCTACTCCTCACTCGACAGTCCACCCACCCACTTACACATGTACTCCTCCCTCGACAGTCCACACACCCGCTTACACATCTAGTCACCCGACAGTCCACCCACCCACTTACACATTTAGCCACTCGACAGTCCACCCACCCACTTCCAATTGTACTCCTCACTCGACAGTCCACCCACCCATTTACACATGCACTCTTCACTCGACAGAACACCCACCCACATCCACATGTACTCCTCCCTCGACAGCCCACCCACCCGCTTACACGTGCACTCCTCACTCGACAGACCACCCACCAACTTACACATGTACTCCTCTCTCGACAGTCCACCCACCCACTTACACATCTACTCCTCACTCGACAGTCCACCACCCATTAACACATCTACTCCTCACTCGACAGTTCACCACCCATTAGCACATATACCCTCACTCGACAGTCCACCCACCCACTTACACATCTACTCCTCACTCGACAGTCCACTCACCCATTTCCACATGTACTCCTCACTCGACAGCCCACCCACCAACTTACACATGTACTCCTCACTCGACAGTCCACCCACCCACTTACACATCTACTCCTCACTCGACAGTCCACCCACCCACTTACACATCTACTCCTCACTCGACAGTCCACCCACCCACTTACACATCTACTCCTCACTCGACAGTCCACCTACCCACTTACACATGTACTCCTCCCTCGACAGTCCACACACCCGCTTACACATCTAGTCACCCGACAGTCCACCAAGCCACTTACACATTTAGCCACTCGACAGTCCACCCACCCACTTCCAATTGTACTCCTCACTCGACAGTCCACCCACCCATTTACACATGCACTCTTCACTCGACAGAACACCCACCCACATCCACATGTACTCCTCCCTCGACAGCCCACCCACCCGCTTACACGTGCACTCCTCACTCGACAGACCACCCACCAACTTACACATGTACTCCTCTCTCGACAGTCCACCCACCCACTTACACATCTACTCCTCACTCGACAGTCCACCACCCATTAACACATCTACTCCTCACTCGACAGTTCACCACCCATTAACACATCTACTCCTCACTCGACAGTCCACCCACCCACTTACACATCTACTCCTCACTCGACAGTCAACTCACCAACTTGCACATGTACTCCTCCCTCGAGTCCACCCACCCACTTACACATCTACTCCTCACTCGACAGTCCACCACCCATTAACACATCTCCTACTCACTCGACAGTTCACCACCCATTAACACATCTACTCCTCACTCGACAGTCCACCCAACCACTTACACATCTACTCCTCACTCGACAGTCCACTCACCCACTTCCACATGTACTCCTCCCTCGACAGCCCACCCACCAACTTACACATCTACTCCTCACTCGACAGTCCACCCACCAACTTACACATCTACTCCTCACTCGACAGTCCACTCACCCACTTCCACATGTACTCCTCACTCGACAGTCCACCCACCCACTTACACATCTACTCCTCACTCGACAGTCCACCCACCCACTTACACATCTACTCCTCACTCGACAGTCCACCCACCCACTTACACATCTACTCCTCACTCAACAGTCCACCCACCCACTTACACATCTACTCCTCCCTCGACAGTCCACCCACCAACTTACACATCTACTCCTCACTCGACAGTCCACCCACCCACCCACTTACACATCTACTCCTCACTCGACAGTCCACCCACCCACTTACACATCTACTCCTCACTCAACAGTCCACCCACCCACTTACACATCTACTCCTCACTCGACAGTCCACCCACCCACTTACACATCTACTCCTCACTCAACAGTCCACCCACCCACTTACACATCTACTCCTCACTCGACAGTCCACCCACCCACTTACACATCTACTCCTCCCTCGACAGTCCACCCACCAACTTACACATCTACTCCTCCCTCGACAGTCCACCCACCCACTTACACATCTACTCCTCACTCGACAGTCCACCCACCCACTTACACATCTACTCCTCACTCGACAGTCCACCCACCCATTTACACATCTACTCCTCACTCGACAGTCCACCCACCCACTTACACATCTACTCCTCACTCGACAGTCCACCCACCCACTTACACATCTACTCCTCACTCGATAGCCCCCCCACCAACTTACACATGTACTCCAAAAACATTTCCCTATTCGTAAAACGAATCTCTGCTATAAGCAGAGTCCATTGTACGATTCCTGACTATAAAAGCCAATAGGTAATGTCTTGAAGATACTCACTGCTCTCCTTCAGTAGAAACGGGGGCGGGCTTCTCTACTCCAGGTAAATGGCGGTGCTTTTCGACAACACTCTATAAGATTTATACATTGAGCCCTAGTCGTTCTTAACTGTGAAGCATCAATATACTAGATTTAAACATTATATTAAAAATCAAATCAAGTAAATGGCTCTGCCTCTGATATTTTCCCAAATAGCCAGAGGATGTAAACAAGGAGACATAGCTCCCATTTACATACATTTTCTGGAGTTTGTTCTACAAACAATTGATTTCTCTGCATTCTATTTCTAAACCTGTACTATCTTAGGTAGAAGGGATAGGGTCACAATATTGAGAGTCCCCGGTAAAAAATGGCAGACTGAACTAGTCTGAACTAGAATTTACACTTTTCACGAATTTACGCATAATATAGCGGAAATGGTTCAAAGGAACTGCAAGGACAATTTAAAAGAATAACATTCCTTATGAAGATGTGGTCAACATCGACATAAAGTGCTTAATTCTACCAAACTTCAACCACCTCTTTCAATCGCTTCTCAACCAGAAAGAAAACATTCAAACCATAACTCTCAATGTTTCAAGTACAAGTTGAGAAATAAACCAGACCAAGCAAGTAGAAATTCATAAAAAAAACAAGCTTTGAAAAAGGAGCAGCACAAGTCAAAACACATATGATTCATGCGCATTAAAAATGCACGTGTATCTTCGGCTGCCCAAGCGGCATGTGTATTTCACTTTTTCCCAATTTCTACAAAAACAAATGTGTCGTTGACGTATGTAACTATCTACATGTAGCAATGTTGGTTTGGACGATGTGTTTTGTATTGATTTAGTTTGAAGTTTTGTTTTTAATTTTTTGCAATTTCATTTTTAAAGAGGTAACTACGTTTATAACGAACTCAAAGGGACCATTTCTTTCTTTCAGTTCGTTAAAACCGTAGTGTACTATAAATATGTATACTTGCACTTACACGATACACAATTCATGACATTTTGGTCTCTTTTGCACCTATTGTTCAAGTAATGCCAATCATTATTTATATTTATTGCTCAGATAACAATGTTCGTATAATAACAACTCGGCTGGTGCGCGCAATCATCACTCATTGTGAGTAATTTCCTATCACACGGTTTCTAATATAGGAAACATACGACACAACACTTTACTTGGTTGTGTGCAGTGCCGAGTCATAAATGCCTCGTTCTGTCACATACATACATACATTATACATACATACAAAGACAATGAGACCATCGCCCTGATGTAGGTGTGTCGCACTACTACAGGAGAAGTTCCAGCAATCAATACGCGATGGCAGATAGAGGCTGTGTTGATGCAGGCCGCTGACCTTCGACACGCGCCCGTGGCTCACATTCCTATAGCCTGTAAAATGGAAGAGGTCATCGTTTAGTTTAATATACTTCTCCCCTTTCTCCATGGATCCCCATGAATGCGTACTGTCACAGAAACATGTGACGAATGATAGGCGGCATTACCCTTGCTTGTCTGCCTATGTATCGCAGTTACTTTGGAAGTATTGTTGACTATTATTCAGGAATCTTTTCTTTAAATTAATCATTATGTGAAACGATGTTTGCAGTTGACTTAATTTGCATTTGCACTTATTCATAAAAATACTAAACATGTTAAGGTATAAAACAACATTTCAACTGCGACTTGTATGCATTCAATAGGTTTTTCGCATTATTTGCCTTATTCTAGCATGTTCTGCGTTAAGTGTACCACTAAAAGGCTGTATCCGCGTTTGCGATTGCTTGCCGCTAAATATACACCATCCACCCACCCACCCATCCACCTAAAAGATAATCAAAGAAAAATACATACATTAATTTCAACGTTTTGGTGATGGTAATATATTCAGAGAGCTTCCTATTGTGCGTCTCCTCAGTGAAATTGAGCTGGTGGCGATCTACAGGTCCAGCTTTCCAGCTTCATATTAAAAAAGGGGGCATCGAACGCTTGTACCTCTATACGAGTCTATGGAACTCAACCAACATCTTCACTTGAATAATACAGCATGTACTGGATGAGACTATACTTCACTAGTCAAGTACACGCCAGCGGACACGAATGACAGGGCATGCGTGTGGCCGGATATTGACTTGACCTTTATGTCAGTGAGACATGAATAATATAAAGGAACTGTTTTTTTCAGAAACCCCGGTGTATCATATTTCCTGTCCCCATCTTTCTTGCAATCTTCAGAACAAAATTACATTTAAATAATCCCGAGTCAAGTACATCATTTTATACATCAAAACGATTATCTTCATGTGACACTTTATACCAATATTTACAGCCTAAAACGTAATTTATAAAGTACAGTAATATGTATCTTGAACGTCTTTAAAAACATTATAGCTTACGTCTATTTCACCATACAAACATATGTTACGATAATGTTTGCAGATCGCCGGGTTGGCCTTGTAGTTTAAGGGCTAGCACGTGGCGCTGATTCTCCACGTGAGTGCCAGGCATATGTACATCAATCAAACTAAAGACGAAGAACATGGGTTGGGTGGAGTTACAAAAATAAAATGATCATATGTAATTCATCAGATTTAAACGAGGTAATTGTCTAGATGGGAAAATGTTTCTCCCTTCAGCTGATCTTGATTACAGGATTAGGGTATAAATATTCATGGTTGTTCAACACAATGTCTAATATCGACCCAATCTCGTGGGGTTCCTTGTACCAATCTAACAAGGCATTTACATTTGTACTTTTTTCAATGACGTTTCAGGGCACGCGTACCTGTCAGCCAGACCCCGCCGGGAGGTGAGTTTAGACGTTATCCCAGTATTGTACAACCGCATGGTGGTTGTCAGTTGCTGCCAGTGCTGGATCAAGCCAATCATACCACGCTAGTTACTGCCTTCTGCAAAGTCATCATAGTAATATATAATTTCAAAGAAAATCGAATATTTCCATTTGTATAAAAGACCATCGGTGCCTTGTCGGGTGCCCTTTATGCGGTCAGGCCTACATACTATGAGATCATTCAAAGATATAATAAACATCACGTGGGCAATGGTCACAAGCCAGGATGCAGGAGTCCGACAAGGGTATCAATACTTCGTTAAGACACAAGGAAACATTCGCCGTTTACAATGTTATTCCATATAAAGACCGTATCCTGTATTAATTTCCGACACAACTAGTTGCTTTGTTCACAATGTGACATACTCAGACGGAAATACGGAAACCGAGATCCAGTATCTGCCGACTTGTTTTGTAACTGTGCCAGGGCAATAGCTATAGGTGAAGCCAGTGGGTTCACTTAAAGGTCTATAGTGTGTAATGTGTGTGTTATAAATCAATTAGTAGGTTCAGTAAAATGCTTAGTGTGTAATTTATGTATGAGTCCGTTCTACGATTCCGACTATGTCATGCGCATGAATCACTATCAAATATTGATGACACTAGGTTTTCGCGAAGAGAGTGAACATATCCTGACCCATCTTTGCCACCCGTCGCAAACACATGCGGAGGCAAGTCAATTGTTCACATGCAAATAAAACGTGACAAATGGTACAGTTCAAACTAGGAGATTATATTATACATCATTTTTGTCACTGTTGCGTCATATCTCTCAATGTATTCCACATGTCCGGCATAAATAATTTTGAAAGCTTCACTAATAAGGCCATGAATGTTGTAACCCTGATCAAACAATGTGTTAGGAGGATTTGTGTCGCGCTCTTTGAAATCTTCGCAGAGGGGAGCATGCTCCATCGTACCTTAACAGCTGTGAAATATAGACACCAAAAGCTGGAGCTGCTGTAATATTACTGGATGAAGGGAAGGTTGAAATCCTCGCTTTTGTCATACTGCTTGGTGGTGAGTGGGTTCAAAAGTCGAGTGTCAAACACGTGTGTCCTAAAGTGATTGCTACTTTGAACTGATAAAATTTCAGAAATGAATTCAATATCAAGAAAAGTGTTGCACTTGGGCTATCGAATTCTGTGTCGAATGTTTTGCACGTAGTATATTAAACGTCAGAGAATTATATCAGTATCGATCTGCCGAAACAGACTCCACGCGAACAGTAGCAAAAAACATATGAATGGATCCCAGAACAACAGTGATGCCACCCATGCCCGCGAAAGTCGTGCTTCACCGGTAGCACCCGTCACTAACTCAACTTGCAGGAAAGGGAAGCGTTTTTCTGTTGCCCAGCGCCATACAGCGACACTCCTGCCATACGACGTCTGCCTGCAAACATTTGAGTCCCGACCAGAAATCTGACTGTGTTTAATTGTAACAATAATTATATTGCTAATTATTTTTGTTTGTCTGATGTTTTATTGCACGATCCCTCGTCCCAGAGTTGTCACTAACAAGTCAGTACAATTACCACTGCCGGTATTGGGGGTTTTTTTTAATGCCGCTTTTACAACAGTATATCGTTAGAAATAGGATTCAAAGCGGGATGTTCGGTGTGACGGGCGACTGCTTTAGACACTATGCTACTCATGTCATTGTCTGTTCATACAAACCTTGAATCTACAAGGGTTAATAAGTCAAACTTGATGCAGCAGTTTTGACAGATACATCTGATGAATATTGTTTACCTTGACGTGACCTTTAACCTCCACATGCCCCATTTGCAGCTAGTGATCCTCGGCATATTCAAGGCAAGTACTCGCTCTATGAATCCGCAGTTTAATGTAGACGATATCATACATGTGCCACAACGTCTTTATAGGATTACCATTGACTGATATACGTTTACATTAGACATCATACATGAGTCATAACGTCTTTATAGGATTACCATTGACTGATACACGTTTACTTTAGATATCATACATGAGTCATAACGTCTTTATAGGATTACCATTGACTGATACAAGTTTACATTACATATCATACATGAGTCATAACGTCTTTATATGATCACTATTGACTGATACAAGTTTACATTAGATATCATACATGAGTCATAACGTCTTTATAGGATCACTATTGACTGATACAAGTTTACATTATATATCATACATGAGTCATAACGTCTTTATAGGATTACCATTGACTGATACAAGTTTACATTAGATATCATACATGAGTCATAACGTCTTTATAGGATTACCATTGACTGATATACGTTTACATTAGACTTCATACATGAGTCATAACGTCTTTATATGATTACCATTGACTGATACAAGTTTACATTAGATATCATACATGAGTCATAACGTCTTTATATGATCACTATTGACTGATACAAGTTTACATTAGATATCATACATGAGTCATAACGTCTTTATATGATCACTATTGACTGATACAAGTTTACATTAGATATCATACATGAGTCATAACGTCTTTATATGATTACCATTGACTGATATACGTTTACATTAGACTTCATACATGAGTCATAACGTCTTTATATGATTACCATTGACTGATACAAGTTTACATTGCATATCATACATGAGCCATAACGTCTTTATAGGATTACCATTGACTGATACAAGTTTACATTACATATCATACATGTGCAATATTACCGTTGTTGGCAGGAGAGAGATAATCCCGGGGAGCGGACAGCTGGGAGTGGTGTTGGGCACGTCGTGTCGATGTCGTCACCGCTTTGGCCGCGAGGGTGGTAACGTGTAGTCTGCTCCTGGGCTCGCTATTTCAAGAAGACAGACAGAAATATGACCACCAGCTAGCCTGACTGTCGGCAGTGTGGCACGGACCCACTAATCAGGGCGTCTCAAGAGTGGCCGGCATCTCCCGGCCAGCAACGGACATCAAGCAGGAAGGACGAAGGATAAAACATCATTCTTCTTTGTTCAATAAACTGGCCAACTTTGTTGGATATAGCATTTCCCATATCTGAAGCTAGTTGTCAGTTAAGTCTAAAAAGGAAAACGTGCCTTCTAGATGTTTGATGGGGAAAAGGGGAAGATGGAAAACCCTCCCCCAAACCACGTACCACCCCACCCCTACTCCATAAGATTCCTGCAAGAGCACAGTGCCCCTCGCCAATGCCATTGCAATAACATTGCATGCCTGACACCGCTATATCTCTCAGAGTGTAAAGACTAAGCCGAACGCACCGTAATGTGTCTGCATAACAATTTGTACAGAGTCTAGTAATTCTCTATTGGCTGTGCACGGTGTGTGTGACAACCTCATTTCCATCTCCTGGCACGACAGCCTGCCTCCTCGTCATCGACTACAAAGCTCGGGAGCCCCGCCAACGTCGCTTTAAACAAACTTAGAACTGCGCTAATACAATACAAGATGTAAACGCGTATTGATTTCGCTTCTAACTAAAAACAATCCACTTTACTGTTTTCTGTTTCAGGAGGTAGTTTTAACTGAAACTGAAGTAAGTCTGACTGGGCACGCAACAATCAGCACGCCTTGTGATTATGTGCAGGATTCGTCTCCTGTCATTGTAAACAATGTGGTTGGGCAAGCCCTGCCCGTCACCTCAAAGGCCGATGACTTCCCCCATCCCATCATTAGATCCGCTACTGTGGATGTTAGGGTCGGCATAGCTGGCGAAACCGTCCCACTTCTTTCCCCAGTGTCCCCCGCCGCCATTATACCCAATCAAAGCCTTCCATAAGCCATTACAGCCAATCACTGTACTGCTCTCTCAACTCAACTTGGAGCGGCGCCAGTCTCCACATTCCCGTAATTAGAGTCCAAGTGTTGTTAAATCACGCTAACCCGAGGTTTAGATCCCCCCTGCATACGCGCATCTCTTTGTCTCTGCGTTTCTCTTAGTCCTTCCAAGACTAGACTCCTGAGCCGATTAAGGAGCCACATCGGTTCTGTACGACTGTGCCATGACGTGTTATTTACTCACGGCGTGGACCAACATGGAGAACATGTTCTTCCGTTTCCCGAACACCTGGTGCCATTTCTGTTACGTTGATTCAGAAACACCTGGTGTCACCACTTTTGCAATGATTCATGAATACCTAGTATCACCTTTGCCAAAATGAGTCACGAACACATGGTGTCACCACTTTTACAATGATTCGTGAATACCTAGTCTCACCACTGCCAAAATGAGTCACGAACACCTGGTGTCACCACTTTTACAATGATTCGTGAATACCTAGTCTCACCACTGCCAAAATGAGTCACGAACACCTGGTGTCACCACTTTTACAATGATTCGTGAATACCTAGTCTCACCACTGCCAAAATGAGTCACGAACACCTGGTGTCACCACTTTTACAATGATTCGTGAATACCTAGTCTCACCACTGCCAAAATGAGTCACGAACACCTTGTGTCACCACTTTTACAATGATTCGTGAATACCTAGTCTCACCCCTGCCAAAATGATTCACGAACACCAGTGTCACAGTTTGTATTGTGATTCGTTAACACCCGGTGTCACCACTTTTACGATGATTCATGAATATATATATATATATGAAATAATCTCAAACGCGACAAACCACCTCACCTCACCATCTACCGTCATATCAACAACCGATGGAGCGATCCCATTCCCATATAGAGGATTACAGTATCAGTGTGGAGCACCGGGGACCGGATATATTCCGACCCGCCAATAGCCCTATCTGTATCAATTATCTAAATGCATTACTCGGATACGTTAATGCTCGCAATGAAGCCTGAAGTCTGTTTTCATCCTTATCAGGTAGCGAGAAGAAACATCACCAAACTGTAGCCGTCATATGTGTTGATCTCCAGAACGCCGCCGTTATTGCACCTACAAAGCGAGAGCATCAGTCCATTCGAAGAGATTGCCCTGGAATTGGTCGGAAAATAAGAAATGATCTGGCCAGGACAAAAATTGATAAATGTATGTATGGTTTATGTAAAAAACAAACAAATAGAGATGAGAGCAAGATAAAAGCGGAACACATAATGAATTATAGATGCAGAATTCTCTCAGTCCTGATCGGAAAATAAATCAATTATTTCGGAGATCCTACCTTGTTGACGGATTGTCATTCTAGGAGAGAATATCATCTGCATAAAAAGCTGGCCTAGACATCTAAAGTGAGTGAGTGACTAGGGTGCCATTATTAGCAGTAGCACAGCACGGTGTGAGAGCAGATTCTAACGGTAGTATAATGAAGGGCAGTACTACAGCACGGTGTGAGAGCAGATTCTAACGGCAGTATAATGAAGGGCAGTACTACAGCACGGCGTGAGAGCAGATTCTAACGGCAGTATAATGAAGGGCAGTACTACAGCACGGTGTGAGAGCAGATTCTAACGGCAGTATAATGAAGGGCAGTACTACAGCACGGCGTGAGAGCAGATACTAACGGCAGTATAATGAAGGGCAGTACTACAGCACGGTGTGAGAGCAGATTCTAACGGCAGTATAATGAAGGGCAGTACTACAGCACGGCGTGAGAGCAGATACTAACGGCAGTATAATGAAGGGCAGTACTACAGCACGGCGTGAGAGCAGATTCTAACGGCAGTATAATGAAGGGCAGTACTACAGCACGGCGTGAGAGCAGATTCTAACGGCAGTATAATGAAGGGCAGTACTACAGCACGGCGTGAGAGCAGATTCTAACGGCAGTATAATGAAGGGCAGTACTACAGCACGGCGTGAGAGCAGATTCTAACGGCAGTATAATGAAGGGCAGTACTACAGCACGGCGTGAGAGCAAATTCTAACGGCAGTATAATGAAGGGCAGTACTACAGCACGGCGTGAGAGCAGATTCTAACGGCAGTATAATGAAGGGCAGTAGTACAGCACGGCGTGAGAGCAGATTCTAACGGCAGTATAATGAAGGGCAGTACTACAGCACGGCGTGAGAGCAGATTCTAACGGTAGTATAATGAAGGGCAGTACTACAGCACGGCGTGAGAGCAGATTCTAACGGCATTATAATGAAATGACTACGGCGAGGTTTAACCTATGCACCTACTTCCATGTAAAAGTATCGTTCTCACAAGGTTAGCAGACTTCACGGACCTTCATCCAGATCAAAGTACTGGTTTACAGTTACACAGCGTTTAAAACGGACAAGTTATTTCATATACATATTCAATATATATGCTCAAAGTTATTTAAACTAAACCTTGGCGGGTAGGTCTTATCGTTGTTATCTAAATTACTATCTCATGAAACTGATAGGTAGTGATTGGGTTTCGTTTGTAAAGTTGAACTATAAAAGATATCAATATTGACTGCCAGTTCGTGTCGGCAGAACGTCCACAGGAGTAAGTGAATACGCAAATCGATCGCCGGATCTCATTTGAGACATCAGAATGTTTTTGTTCCCAGTTGAGACCGGAGAACTGACGCTAGTCCTGTGAAAGTGTTTTGCCACATAGGCTAGGGCGCAGAGCCGAGTAGCCGACAGTAGTCATCGTCGTAGTCGATGTATGTGACGGTGGACAGATTGGACGTTGTGTAGTGCTTCATAATAGAGTCACATCTGTGTGGAGGAGACGCAGAGAGGAGCACAATGAAGACGTTTGCTTCTGAAACACATGACCACTGACAGAATAGATTGACAAGTTGCAAGATTCAATATTGTCAATGTGTATGCAGCGCTCCAGTCAGCAGTCGGCTGACAGGTTATTGTCTTCGGCGCTAGGTTGGTCTGTGGGGAGTATCTTCCCTAACATCATCTACCTCCACTGCTACATCACATCTCGGCTGACCAGTGTCCGAGTTCCACCAGTATGACCCCAGGAGCAGAGAGGTTTAAAGGGGGTCACTACCTTGGCATAAGCCAAGAGTCATAGAGAGAAGATTTTACAACTGTGTGGTTCCGTCGAAGTTTAGGTCTGTTTGACATAATCTCATCTGTCAGGAAACGAGCTGACTGTCACTCACCATACCCTTGTGGTCAGCAGTCGGCAGACATTCAATACGGCACACTGGCCCGTGTTCTCCGGTATGGGATTATAAAGACAGACTATTGAATCTCCTCGCGTGGAATTAAAGACTGGTCATTCATTGCGGTTGAGATAGTCGGCGCTCAAGGGGATAGGTGTATCGGACTCGTGGCCAGGAAGGAGAAGAGCTATAATCGTTTGTGTTGCCCCTCCATCCATCATCGACCAGAGCAGAGGATTCCTGCCACTGTGTGTATGTAGTTAGTCTTTCATTCTGCAATAAGACCATGTGGGACATATGGTGCCTCAGCAACACCGCACATGAGTAGATGAGTTTTAGTTCCAACTTGTCGTCTGCTACCACCCTTCGTGAACCCCGGATGTTTAACAGCGGTGGCAGCACACAGACCTAATCTGGTAAGTGACAAAGTTGTACACTTAATTTCCTCCCATTTACTTCGCGCGACAACCTCCGTTGTCATTGATCTCCATGAGGGACGCCGAGAAAAATGACTTGTGGTCGCATGGGGACGGTTCGCAGATATGGGGTGGGTGTGTCTCTTGGACAGAGACAGACTGGAAGGCAACTGCTCGCGATGACTGTTTGTGTCTGACATAGAACACATGTTCAGTGCCTGGTGTCTTACATAGATGTATAGGAACAAGTGTTCAGTGACGAGTGCCTGGAGAGCGTCTTACTTTTAGAAATGGACATACGAACTGACGATCCGATAACCACAGATGGGTAAACTACATGTGAGCACCCTCTGATCGTCCTGATATGGCGACACATAAACTCCACGGCGAATCTTAAACGAGATATGTCTTTACTTGGATGCTAATGCTTACTATGATGTGTGTT